TTGTCTCTACATATCGTAAAGTGTCGGCATGATGTTCTCTTCCCATATCGCTACTCCTGTGATAGCGCAACTCATTACTTTTCGCTTATGCCAGTTTGAAAGACGCGAAGGCGAATGGAGACGGAGGGGATATGCCTGAGCGACCATTAAATGTCTGAGATGGAACGAGGATGGCTGCTGATGTCATTTACATCATCGGTAGATGCAGATAATCACTGGTTTAAGCAGAATCAACTTCCAATTAGACGCAATTTAGCAGTCCTGACGACAACTTGGGAGACAAAAGAGTTAGGAATTCGCTTGTCTGACAATACAGTGGTGTGGATGGTTGGGAAACGTATAGGATGGGGAGCCGCAATTACCTCGGTTACCGACATGCCATATGACAAGTGGAAGAAAATAGGAAATTACGAGCTGAAATCTACATTCTATGGTAGCGAATGTAAGCATCTTAGTCAGTAGATCAAAGAGCTACCACATCTGAGTTTAGAAGAATGATTGTGACACAAACCGCATGCTTAGTTAAGGAGAATACGACCAGCATAAAAGTCAATGAGGACACACCGAAGGCCTCAGCGAGAGCGTAGTGAATGGGCGCGTTGGTTGCCTCTGCGTACCCTTCCAATTCTGAGCAGTCACGGAACGCTACATCAACGGGACGGTTGCGCTAGAAAATACAAAAAAATTTTTCAGGTGATAAAAGAAGACGGATAGTCAACAATGTGGGAGTGCAGATGTAGAAGATGGTAGGCAGATAAGAAGGTGGCCAAGCACTAACAGAGCTATTTGAAGGCAGACAAGTGCGAAGCAGCAAATGGACAGGTCGGGCTAAACATCAAGTGAATGAATGAATCTGCAGGCAACTTTGAAGTTCATAGATGGATAGTCGCATAAATGGATGGTTTGATGAAGACATACAGCCGCTCCGGACAGATAAAGTAATGGAAACGGATGAGCGATGGATAAAAGGCAGTTTAAGGGTCTGAAATTGGCAAATAAATGAGTGGGGCAAGTGTGAATGGATAAAGGATGGACGGATGTGCCAATGACGATAAAATGGGTGGGTTAGTGGGCAGTATAGTAAGTCACCCGAGCGTGTAGCAATCGGAGAAGGCAATGTCGCAGGAGGCGGTCATTAAACCTATTTACCGCCCAGTCGAGCTCTGCCTCGATGGGCGAGCGTTGTACCATGCCACTCGTCAGATTCTGAGAACCAGTTAAGGCCTGAACGAAGTCCTCCCAGTACTGAAAACGTAGGTTCGCCATCTGTGGCGTGGAGGTTCGATCTCGAATCTAAAAAAAGATGTAAAAATAGAAGATGAAATGTGCTCCGTACAAAACGCATGCAGTAGTAAATGGGTTGAAGAAATAGAATTGAAAGAATTGTCCATTGACGGATAGAATAAGGGACCAGCAGGTGGGAAAAAAGACTCAACCGAGCTAAATGAATTTGTTTTAGAAATGGATAAGCAGAACAAGAGAAAGAGACGTGCATGAGGGTTTGTGGAAAATATGACAAGTTAACGGTAGAGACGGATGCTTTGAGGTGAATGGGTGAAAATCTCACAACAAAATGGCCTGATAATGGTAAGATATCAACAGACAGTCTCAAAACGAACCATTTGGTAGGAGAAATATGAG